GCTCCAAGGTTGCAGTGACAATTCCCTAGTAACCCTAGTGGTATTAATTATGGCACCACGATGCTGAGCTAGACGAACAAAGTCCTAGATTCTGGTACTGTAGGTACAGCACACTACAGTATTGTATTGTATGTACAATGCATTGGTACTAGGCACCTTACTTGGTAGGGTCGTTGCTTGAACCTTTCGTCAATTTAGCTCGATTGTGTCGTCATTGGTCTCTTATATTACCAGCATGTACATGTGACATGTGTGTAGCATCTTAAGTATAAGTTATGTCGAGTACTTATGTATTAAATCATACTTCACCTTCATATGAGAATATGAATAACAGACGAATTTCATGTTTATGTTTTTTTTTCTTTAAAAAAAAGAAGAAGAGCAACGGCAAAGTAAGATCGGCACAATTTCAAAAAGGAAGCGGCATCCATATTTAATCATTCATTTGTTATTCACGGACAACTTGGATTCTGGAACATGGATGTGCAGAAAAGAGCCCTGGAGGAGCTTGGTAGGTCTGGTAGTGCCTGGTAAGGCAGGTGCTGGTGGATACCTAACCTTGAAATTATTGCCCTAAACTTTCACAGTTTGGATGTACTGTACCTTATCGTCGTGGGTACCCACTCCACACTGTCCCTAGCACCCAGGCACCTAACCGCCCGGTTCGGAACGGCCGTCCATTGGTTAATATTCCAGGTGATCCTAGGTAATTCAGATGGTGGAAAGTTTCTTAGACTTTCTTAGACTTTAGGGATGTACAAGATGCCAATTTCCCCATTCAGCTTCCAATTCCTCACTTCTCAGGGCAGGTGGTATCTGTCAGATTTTCTCATTTCTCAAAGTTTTAGGTTTTTTGTCCTAACGTCCTCAAGTTTTCAACATTTGGAACCTTGGGGCAGTTTTATCCTTCGGGTTTCTCATCTTGTTACCCGAGCCTCCAGTGAGAGGAAGAAATCCCCGACTTGCTCAACAATCCGACGGTCTGATTACCTACCAGTCAACCAATTTGTGGGGTAAAACATCTTTTCTCAAGAAACATTACAACTAAGAAACAAGGGGGGAGAAAACGAAGAGTAAAGAGGAACAGAAATCAATCTGTCGATGTCAGCCTGGTCAATTTGGTCAATTTGGTCAATGTAGCTAACTTATTGTCCGCTGCCCGCTGCTCGTCGCCCGGATTTCACAGCCGGATGTCGCCCATAACCTAATTGTCCTAAATGTCCCCCTCCACACCTGAGCATTGCACTTTTTAACCTTCTTTCGGCTGCCGTTATCTGCGTTCAAGCGGCCTCTCCAAGTTATAGTTATCTAGGCCACACGTTCTAGAAGACCGACCCGCGGACTTGCAAAAACCTCCAGGGCTATCGATCTCAACGTTCGAATTCGAATCCCTACAACCCCTTGGAACCTACTACGTACCTAGGGCCCTAGGGATCATAGAACTTGGGAATCTTGGAAGAAGATCCATGAGACGATAGTACGCGGCTTGATTTTGCTATCAATCGCCGACCGACTCTTTGTCAAAGCGGGTGGGCTGTGATCCTTCCCTACCTACCTATACCTACTACCTAGCAACCTTCACAAACCTAGCAACCTAGCAACCCAGCTCAGCTACCTTGTCCACCTTGCCGACCTATTCATCCTACCTCCCACCACCCAACTGCCTTATTGCCTATTGCCTATAACGCCTGCCAACTTCGCGTTTCCTTACCTCAGCCACTCCGGTCTCCATTAGCAACCCAGGTCCCAGGTTCAATTGTTACGTCCCGTCCCGCCTCTGCAATCCCTCGTTCTCAACCTCTTCGAAAAAACAACACTTTTGTATCTAGCATTACCTTGAACGACAACAATTTCGGCAATAATCTCGTCTTATCGCCGAGTCATACACTATTGCGACGTTTAACACTTGACATGTAATGCCCGCCATATTTCATTCCGGACTATCACGACAATCGCATTTCGCAAGAAGGCGCCGGCTCGTAGCCGTCGACGAGGGATAGATGCGCCTAGCCGAAGCCGACGTTGAACCTTTGCCTATTCCCTTACCACCAACCGGATAAGGCGCACGAAGATGGCAGACCGAGTACAGGCCTTCGTCCGGGTTTCTGGCCCTCCGAATAGTAACTTTTTAGTTGGATACCCCGGTATTTCGGCAACACTGGTGAGTCTCACAATTCCTTCTCTCATCCTTCCGCCTCGTCTACCCAACCCATGGTTTGTTTTCGCATTTTCAACCTGGGGGGTTCGTAGTGCCGGGTGCCGGCCACCGAAAACAAGATTCATGCAATATTCATATTCCAATTTAATTGTCTACTGATACTAACATACTTACGTAGCCGCGCATCGAGGGCAAGGTTGAGATCAGACCGTCAGCGGGGATTTCCGCGCCCGTCGCTATCTCCTTAGTGCGAATATGTCTCCAAAGAAGGGAAACAATCCACCCCGCCGCCGAAAACATGGCCAAACGTCACCTCGGCACCCCTCGACGCGATACTACCGATGTTGTAGGGAAGGAACTCTTATTGTACCGATGCGCATCAGGCAGGGACGCTGAGCTAGTTGTGGCGATGGACCTCCCGTTTATTTTATTCATCCCATTCGGACGAGGCCAGGAGGAGATCAATAGGAGAATACCACCAGCCTCGCTACAACTCCCCAGCAGAACCGCAGAAACCTACTATGAACTAGTTGTAACCGTACAACAAGGCCCAAGCATACAGAATCGATACGCATTCCCTATACCCTTGCAGCGATATGACACCTTATCGACTTTTGGAATGTACAATCGGCCGGAGCACAAAGTTGCGACGACCGACAATATCGTTACTCTTGGCATATCGCTTCCAAGGTGGAGTTACGGACCTATGGATCCAATAACAGTGTACATTAAACTTGCGCCGAATCTAGACTGGTTGGCCAAGGCAAGGAAAGTGACCGTGCAGAAGATCACGCTTGCGATCGAAGAGGAAATTACGTATAATCATGAAGGGGATGAGCCGACTAAGAAGGTCAATAGGCTGCAGAAATATACCCAGAATGTCGGAATGAAATTACCGGAGGCAGGCTACGTGACGAACATGGGAATCATATTTCCTCATAAGGATTTGAGAGATGCGAACGGGATTATCAGGAGGGGACAGCCAGCTTTCCCGAACTACGAAGTCACGTCATTTACGACCACATCTACACTTTACAAGATTGAGTTTTATCTGACAATCAAGGTAAGTACTTACACTGAGATACAGATGGAGTTGGCGAAAATGCTAACAATTTGAATCACAGGCGCAATTAACTTCAGCGCGCGACATCACGCTACGACAACCTATCGTCATTTGCCCACTCGATCACCAAGCCTGCAAGGAAGAAATGGACGCTATCGAGCAGGCGGCGAAAGACGCCTCCACCGTCGACCCGAATAATCCAATGCTGCCTGCTAGAAATATCGTCTTGGCCAGCGACCCTCATGCCATGGCGACGTTGGGAATATGTACAGTAGGGGGGCAGAAGAAACCACTGATCGAATGAAGACAACGATATTTAATCTGAAGAAGACGGAACACCGTGGTCTTTCGCCTCGCGATGGGTTTTCTTCGAAGCATAACGGCTACTAGTGTCGAAATAATCAGAACGCGCTTCCTTGTAGGTTCCCGCATGCTCGGCTGCTTATTTGAACAGTCTATTATGGCAAGACCCTCGCAGGCGGGAAAGATCCGGATTTATCATTTGATCTACCAGGTCGATCTAAGCACCAGCAAAGCTTGAAATGCCACCACTATGGGAGTGGCATGTTGAGTTGGGGCGCAGGCGATCCATCCACTTATGTTTCCCGCTCGCCGGGAGAGTGGATGCTTTTAAATCCACTCAGGTTCGCCTCTCACTAGGTAACGCAACCAGAAGGCAGGTATTGCTTTGGCGACTTCTTTCTATAATCATAATCACGGGGATTTCAGGGGTGGGATGCAAGCACCGGAGTTCTAGGGTTTGCAAATTTGGATGGAATTGGCTCTATGCATTTGGTAGGCATATGCCACTGCGACGGATTTTACGGCGTTACGGATATGATATATTCCCTCGGGGCGACACAAACCGAAGAATGGGATCTAACGCATCGGGTCCGGGCGTTCAAGTCGAGTTGAGTCTCTCAGGCGTTCTCGACTATATCTCTCCCTGCAAACTACGAGCTTGACATTGGTATCATATACCAACGATGCTATGTACTATCTAGCGACTGACTACTTTTGATGGTCTAGCCATGTCGACGGAGAAGTGGTTAGTCGGACGCACGCGTGGCATCTCGTGAATTTACCATATGAGAAGCTGACACAAGCTGCACAAATGTAGATGGTAAGATAGTTGAAACAAGTAGTTGGAATCACGATTACGTGTACATATACTCTTACACCTGCACTCGCACTTATGGCGATGATTTTGGCATTAGGGGGCGCACGGGAATGATTGGTGAGAAGAGAATGGCGAGGCATTCTGCAAGCCACAAAGGAATTCACGTATGTATGTTGTTGATACTACTCATTGCGCAGGCGATAGTATATCTTGATTGAGGCTGCTTGAGTAAGGTAGCTCGGTAAATAGCTTACGCGTTAATCAATGTTGAGATTATTGACGTTATCTATATCTGCATCCCTCTCATCATTCTCATCATTCTCATCATTCTCATCGCCCTCTCGTCCCTCACCAGATATTTTTTATACAAATACCATGGTATCGGGTGTGTGAGTAAATGGGGCACTTGATCGACAATATCGAATTTACCCCGCCTTCCTTCACAAATCAAGCAAAAGTGTAAAAACATATTAATTACTAAGTAACATTGAACATTAACAGAGCAAGGTTTTGTGATGTAATGTTTAGAAGACGACAGATAAAAAGTATAAAGTAAAAAGTATAAAGTAAAAAGTAAAAAAGAAAAGAGAACAAAAAAGAAAGTGCGATTTAACTTGTGACACAAATAAATGATTACAAATGGCAAAAGTTAATTGTGATGAGAGCTGCAGGATTCGAACCTGCGCGGTTTCCCATTGCGGGTCAGATGTTCCATGGACTTCAAGATTGAAGATTCATAGAGGTCCTAAACACAACGCCTTAACCACTCGGCCAAACTCCCATTATTGGTTGTTGAATGCTGCTTGTTTATCAGTGTCTATAAAGACAAAATCTCTTTCGTTTAGACGACGCTGATTGGCCAAGTCCTAAAGTGGGGGCTGGTGGTGCGAACTTAGATGCAGGTGCAAGTGTGAGTGGGTCCTTTCTCAATACAACATTGGGTGTACAACATTGGGTGTACAAAACACATTCAAGTGACTCGTGAGTCTTGCACAAAACTATAGCTTCGATATTCGACGAGATTGTGTAGGCAAACGCAAGACGGCAACAAATATTGTGATTGACTTTTGAGTCAAATACAAGTTCACAGAATCAAGGAACTCGATCAAATCAGCTTCACTAACTTTATTCCTTACTTAGTATCGTGATGAACTTGAGGCTCTTGAGTAAAAAATATTTCAAGTTCGACATGTGATATACTCACACAACTTTATCAAGTACCTCTTTTCAAATACTTGATTCGTTTTCTCATCGTCACACAACCCGACTTTACCAGGATCTCTCATATTCTGGACGGGAAAATGCCTTTCGATGACGATGATCCCATACCCTCCTCCGCTCTCTCAATAGGCGAGGATGGCGAGGCTCCATCTTTGGAAGACACACTCGGGGACGAGACCCAGGACTTCCGACTCTTCGCCTCACTCTTCGACAAGAAGGGGGCGTCAGGAAAGACGCTACGGCGTGGTGAGAAGGATTTCGAGGCTCATGGCACGCGCGCACAGGCCGGAGCCTTGGAGGCCAGCCGTGAGGCCATGCACGAGGTGCTGAGCTACACGCGCTCGCATAAGCCGCGGGATATGAATAGGGGATGGTATTTCCCCGATAAGTGGGCCAATGCGCCGGAGATTGTGGAGGTGGAGGGAGAGAAAGGAGCGGGGTTATTTGCGAGGGACAGGGTGGTGGTGGTTGAGGAGGAGATTAAGGGGGTGTTGAGTCAGACCGTGGGGAGGGTCGTTACAGGAATCGAGGGGTATAAGGGGACACCAGCATGGCTCAAGACGTGGTTATTGCCGGAGGAGGCATTGTATCTTGTCGAGAGAGGCTCGCTGGATTTATGGTGGCCAGCGAGGGGCATCCAAGATGTGTTTCCGGAAAAGAAAGTCGACCAGAACGATGTTGGAGATGAGACTCAAAAAATCGAGGACTACGAACTAGGAGTTCCACTTAGTTTACAAGCAGCCTACGCACTTCTCATCGGCAACGACGGAGAGAGGGGCAAGGTCAGCCTCGAAAGGTATCAAGTCTACGCCAATCTCAGACGAACAGGCTACAAGGTTATGCGCGCGACACACATGCCAGTACCACCACCACTTACCACAAGCACTCCCCAAAACATATGGCAATGGCTCATATCACTCATCCCAACATCTATAACGTCACAGGCCAATCCACCACCCTTCGGCCCGCTTGTCAAACCAGGCCTCTATCGCTCCTATACCCCAATCTTCACACAACTCGCGCTGATCCAGCGCCACGAACCCACGCCACAACCGAAAGCGGACACGCCAAAGCCGGAAGATCCATTTAACATACACTTCCACGTCTGGAAAAGCAGCACCGCTTTCCCTAAGACGAAGCTGCCTTCGCCAGATTTCCGGATCGCCGTCGCCGACGCGCGCTCCTCCTCCGTCCCAACACTGGAACAACTTACCTCCCTCCTCGAGACACGCACTCCCTGGGATCCGCCTGAGGCCCCGAAAGAAGCACAGAACGGGACTCCGAATAGGAATAACCAGGGCCAGATGTACAAGCGGCTGAAGCACGGTTGGCGCAACACGATTGTGGCGGTCGTGGATCGGGGATTGATCAGCTACGTCAGGTTTGGGGAGATGGCGTTCGCGCGGGAGAGGCTATACGAGGGGTTTGGGAGCGGGGTGGGAGGCGGGAAGGGGAAGAAGGGGGGGAGGAGTGGGAGGGGCGGACGGGGTGGGAGAGGAAGGGGACGGGGGACGGGTGGTTGAGATGCATCTTCGAGCTTACCTACAATTCCCGAGACTTTCGAAGACACAAATACGCTATAGCTGTAACTATTGGGACATTCTCTCAACATAGACAGGATCGAACCCCACGGTTCAATAGGAAGACGTATATTAAGGCCCATTGATCGAGATAGCTCAATTTGAGGTTTGAGGTTCGATACGAGACACGTATAACTATCCTAGCACTTGCAATCTTCCGAAGACCTCGTTGTCTATCCGCATTGAGACATGTTTCACGAGTAATCTCTTCGATTGTGACGATAGACGAATGGTGTCTTTTCTTTCACCCTATTTTCCCCGATACTGAACGCCCACCCAGTCCAAAGAGACTCTTCCCCGCTTCTTGTAGGATAATAATAGTTGACTAATCCACTATTGCCTACTCACCTAGTATTTCTCATATTATAGTGTCCGATATGGCCAAGTCAGTTGGTATTGATGTCGGCTGGCTATCCTGAAGGACAAGAAGTTCTCGCACTCATCGATCTAAGACAACATCCATGAAGGAGATACAAGCATCCAAGATAAAATCCTGCTCGAATCGCATTGGGTGTTCGTATCCAGACATGTTTGCTGGGTAATAAGCATGCGCGAGCGAGCATATGCATGTGGTTACCCATCTACCTTAAGTAAACCTAAACTCCGGGCACTTGCACGAAGCGTGGGGGAAATGAGGTGGAGTCACCAGCTCAGACAGCAGCAGCAGCAGTGGTAGCGGGAGCGGCAGCAAAGAAAAATAGCTCCTTTACTCGAAGGGCCGCCCCCGCAACCAGTTTCCTGTAATGGACCCTCGTGGATCTGTAACACAGCTGCAGCAGGTATGACGAAGGTGTATTAATTGGAGCCACACGGTCCGATAATATCGAAGAGAAGAAAAGTGGTTATCAAACTGCTACAGGTTTGCGAGTTAAGTGGTTGTGATACGGTCGTGTAGGTAAGTAGGAGGTAGGGATGTGTCTATGCTATCTCGCCTGTTGGGACACGAGATGATAGTTGCACAATGAGTCCTGGTGCTACAGTGACATGTCTATCTTCTTCTCGTCTTCTCGTCTTCTCGGTGCTTGATAACCCATCTAGTGTAGTCGTCCATAGAAAATGGATCGGTTTATGTCCATGGTTCTTCGACGGCTTATTGTCAGGATTATCAAGTCGTGGAGTGGTGGCGGGTATGTGATAGGACAGCACGTGAGTCTTGAGATTTGGGTTAAGAAAATAAGATTTATAGGAGCGATCACATGATCCGGACTTAGAGAGGTATCGAGGTACCTCTTCCGGACTGGTAAGTTCAACCGGTTGACCAGGGCAGGTGCAGGGATAATAAAGTCTTGGCTTTACTTCTTTCAATTCTCCTTATCGCTAACACCTACTTCGTACATACATACATCACAAGTCTCATCCATGCGAAGAAAAGCGAGAGGAGACGAGAAGACGAGTTTACCTTTTTGAAGTATATTGTAATTGCGGCCATGACTAAGATTATTCAGCCGGATTTCTGATTGTTTCGTCCTTAACCTCGAGTTTACTGTACGAAACCCGAAGCAGTTTATCTTGGGAATATCACCGAGAGAATAATGCTACCTATACTGTTGTACGGCAATGCGATTGGAAGGTAATCGAAGGCTTTTAGGCAGTTTGGGAGGGGGGTTGACGGGGTTGACGGGGTTGTTGAGTTTTTAAATGAGAAATTATTAACCTTGTTCTGCTTGTGTTCCAGTCGTTTCCCCCCTCGGGCAGACCGACCAAGACTCTCTCAATCAATTTGGATTCGTTCAATTTCGTTTATCAAACAGAACCAAAACCAGAACTAGATCAACCAATTCAACCGAACCTTGTCGCACGAGCACGTAATTCCTGATAGTTATGGCAATGTTTATCAGCAGAGACTTGACTGATGACCTGATGGCGTAAGATCTACCTAGTAGTGTATCACCGCGACCTATCAGATGTCTCGATTACTGACAGAGATACTCCAGAGCTATCAATGATTCAATGTATGTAGAAAGTCTAGTTTACCTAGACATGCATTGATGATTGTTCAACTGTGTCCACGTTGCATTCTTCATGATTTCTCTGCAGGATAGAGTGCAGTCTGCATTTATTACCCTATTGCTACTATGTATCATTATCAATGTCATTCGCCGATTTTCAAACCTTTCTGCGGCACCCCACCACGATTTTGCGATTTTGACTTGACACTTGGGAATTGACGATGAAAATTTTAGCGTCTCCTGGCCAAAGACCAATCGAGGATTGGTTTACAACTTCGTCACCTATACTTCTGTATAAATATGATAAATATGCGGTAACATGGGGCCAACTGCTACCGTTCTCTGCTGTGTCTATGTGTATGTATGCTGTGTTCCAGGGCTATGTGCTAGACATTGATTTCCACGTATACCAACCAACGTCGATAGTGTCGGCTGGGGCTAAATGGACATCAACGCTATAATTACTCAAAACGTCTATTGTTGCTAGGGGCTAATTGCTGACCCATTTTTCTATTACTATGTACCTTCTTCGCACAGCGTTTCTTAATGCGTACGTGTGTTGGAGATGTTGGAGATAAGCGACATGTCGAATACAATAGTTACCATACAATTATGAACTTACTGCTTAGAAATTGGTATCCATATACTCTAGGCTGGAAACAAATCAGTTTTCATCTATTCGATAGACGTCGTGATTTTCAAACTGGACGGACCCAGCATCATGAAGGCGATGACAGATGCAGACGCCCTTGCGCCACAACACACGCGCAAGTCAAAAAGACTAACATCATGACCATTATGACTCAGCCAACCTCTCTCTAATTTCACCGAAACACGAAACAAACTGTGGTTGGAAACCTGAACCCATCCACCCAATCTTGGCTCACGAATAGGTAATAACTTCCAGGCTCGAAAAAAAAGAGATGCAAACTTGCCGGGACCTAAAGGATTTTCGGTGTGGTTGTTAGATGATTCGTCGCGTGGTCCTAGCCTGCTCATCATTGATTTACGTCGTTGCGACATTTTCGTCG